ATAATGTTTCGCTATAGACGTTAAACCTTCAAAACTTTAGAAAGAAAAAGGAAAGAAAGAAAGAATTGGAAACAATATGAAAAACCTGTCCACTTCTCTTACATAGTAGCAATGATTTACCTATTTAATAATCATTTATCGAATTGGCCTACAAATCCTGATTGTTTGTGGATAAGTTCATGTTTTTGCAGATAACGAGTAAAGCCAATCGCAAATTCCAAGTTCTCTACGGAAGTTAATTTCATTTCAGTTGCTACTTACTGGTTTACGGGTTGTTTGGAGTTGTTGTAAAGTATTCAGTTTTCTTAAGTCAATCTCATTCTTACCTAACCCATTGGTTATATGAACTATATGAATCTCAAAAATTTCCATATAGAAAATAACAAAATTTTCGAGCTGTACTTTACATTTTGAAGATCGCATTTTGCTAGCTCAAAAGCATCTCTTTTTTCTGTATTGTTACATCGTTATGATATACAACGCATTCTTTGTCGAATATAAGTACATTTCCAGTTTTTCAAATCAGTTTTATTGTTTCAGGCACGATGACGTTTGACGCTGTGAAGAAGAAAAATGAACTCAGAAATATGATTTCATTTTGGTAAGTTTGAGATTTTTTATTCTATTCATCTTAACTTAGAGAAAAGCCATTAGGTAGTACTAATCAAAGGGATGCGAAGTGTAATATGAACGTAAATTAATGAACGAATTATAAGAAGAAAAATTTACTAGTAAATAGCTGAAATGAATAGACCAAATAACTAAATAAGAGAATGAACGAATAGATGATTTACTAGACTGACGATTACATTAAGTCATGATTGCTTTAGTGAATAAGAATGGAATTTTAAGAGTTATTGTTAAAGTCTGGAAAGATTTAAGTTCAAATTAGAAAAAGTAGAGTAATTAGAAAATTTTCAGGATATTCGGTCTCTGCAACAATTTCACCTTCAGTATGATGTTAAGCGCAGCACAGGATATCCTATCCAAGCAACATCGTCCAATACATTTTGTTGAAAATGTTACTGATATTTGCATTGTGAGCTTTTCAAACATCTATTTGAATTCTAGCTTTGTGACCTTTCTGAGAGCTTGAAAATCGAAGAACAGTGAAAGCTCCCTCTAGTTTAAAATAATATTTGGAACATCTTTAGCCAGAAATCACTCACCGAGTCTGCTCTCCAACATCTGCCGGAGTTGTGCTTCTCTGCAATATTCTTCCTGCTCTCATGATAAAATTAATGTGTCCATTTGTCATGCATTGGATTCCATATGGGTAACTTCTTCTTCCCCTTTTGTTCAAAAATTCATTTTGAATTTTTTCAGTATTCGCCATCTAATAATATGTTCTCTACAAGCAACTTCACTTCTTTTAACTGCTTTTTCAACTTCTGTGGTAACTGCCCTTTTTGGTGTTTGTGTGGCTTCTCTTGCAGGAGGATTGGGCGAGAGCACATTTCTGGGATTAGCAGGGCACTACTCCAAGTGGGCCATAATCTAGAATCTCGTAATTTCCAAATTTGTCAATCGGAGTTTCTTCCTCTATAGGCACACCATTGCTACATGGTCATCTGGAACAGGGATGGCAGGACTGATAGGAGCCTTCTCCTATGCTGGAATGACTGACGCCCGACTGCTAGCCCTAACTCCTACGCAGGCTATGTTGGTTATGCTAGTTATGCCAGCTATTTTTGCTTTCACGTATGTTTTAAATCTATTTATTCGCTCATTCCATTCCAATCAGTCGCTTACTCATTAGGTTAAATAATAATTCATCCCATTTATC